TGTCGACTTCGCGATCTGTGCTCAGTCCGGTGTTGCTGTTCCGGTAGAACGAAATCTGGCTGAGAAAATCATTTAATGGAAGCCTACCAGTGGAAAAGTGGCAACCCGTGACTGAGCCTATGACAAACTAAAGTTTTTATGCAATTTTGAGGTAGAATATGATTCTTTCCTTGAAGAAGTTCAGTGTGCTCTGTACGAAGTGCTGAATGCAGAGTCCCTCATATTGATGGGCGACTTTAATGCGCACTTCGAAGTAGACGTTGATAAGTGGAACGGCGTGATTGGGAAAAAAGGCCCTAGCGACCTCAACAATACGGCATGAAGTTGCTGCGGTTTTGTGCAAACAAAGGATTGTCTCATTATGAACACCTTCTTCGAGCATCGAAAAGTGCATCAGTACACCTGGTACCGGCAAGAATGTGCAGAGAAGTCGATGATCAATCTGATAATCGTATCGTCTGACCTAAGACGCTCAGTAATGGATGTTCGTGTTAAGAGATACGCAGAGCTATCAACCGATCATCACCTTGTTGTTTGACTTGGTCAGACACTTCACGGTATGATGGAACAGGTATTGCTGGTCTGTTTCTAATGGTTTGTCTAAATTAAAGCTGGGGTGTAGTAGCCTACTGTTTAACAACTTCGGTAAGTAAAGCTCTTGAAAAAAAAGAATTCTTCCTTCAGGCCTTTAACAGCATTGCAAGTTGCAGCTGCGCGATGAAGCCTTTTCTGCACGATGTCGTGAATAACGCCGGCGGTGTACCAGATTTTGGGCGAAGATACCAATTGAAATGAGTAAATTTTCAGCAGGCCACAAGTTTAAACTTCCCATGTTTCTTTTGGTTGTCCCATTCTGCAAGCGTAATGGACTAATTTTCTGTGGCGAATTTTTGAAGATACAGGATACACGTTTGAACGATTTTTAGTTGACGGAATAGAAACAACTGGAGAAGTACTGAAGTTCATCCCAGAAGTATCTCATCGCCAATCACTCATTTTTGAGCGTATTTGTGAAAATTGGTAACCAACCTAAAGTTTTATTTCTATGATGGATAAGATCTAGTTTCCTCTCAGCTACAGTTCCTGGTGGTATTAAAAAAAGTATTGCAGTACTGTCTACAGAGCAGTACCATTTTACAAAGGTGCATTAAGGAGAGGTTCCGTCCGCCGGACTGAGTTCTAGACTAGTTCTGGTTCCATCACACTTCGGATGAAGTGAGGCAAAACTGCGTCATTGAACGTCTTAGTTCTGGCGTACATAGAGTTAGGCTAGGTGTTCGTCGTCTTCACCTTGGATTTGCAGCTGATCAGTGCGTCAGGCAAATGGTAGGAAGGATCAACGAAGATTTTCTTGGCGAAGGTCACTGTGGCTGTCACGATCATTGCAGACCAGCTACTTTCGCAGAAAGTCTGAGGCAGCGGCGAAGAACAACACGGCCGTTAGCTGCGAGTGCTAAAAAAGCACCGGAGCCACAAATGTCACTGCCAGAGCTGTAACCAGAAGCATCATTAGAGGTTTGAATTTTCAGTCTACCAAAGACTAACTCGCTCCAATAGGTACCTTAGCCCAGAATCCTGAGTTCCATCTGTATTATTCAGGAATGTTGCAAGCGACTCGTTGTTATGAGGGAAGAGGACATGAAATCGGGGCATCGATCTTTTATTAAACGCGCGTATATGCACAGGCAACAACTGCCAAAATCATTATTTCCACCTTCGGCCCCGTTATCTTCAGCGTATGCGTCATCGTTTCTACTCTTTTCACAAATGATGGCCCTTTGCTCGTCCTCGAGGGCCGAACCTCGTTGACCAGTTGGCTACAGAGAACTCTCAGTCAAAGATGCTGCCGATAAAAACATCCAGTCATTACGCTACAGGCACCTTAATACTTCCGCTGCGCCAGGTCGAGCACTTCCGGTCGTTATACTGACGTGCTCAATCACCTCTTAGATCGATCCAAACATCCGGTCGTTTGCTGATTTGCGTCTGAGTGTCAGTCGCCATATAGTTTCTTAGTTTCAGCCGGTCATCGTTTACTGCTGGTTGCCAATTCTTGCAAGCACGCCCAGGAATGACAGAGTTTGGCAACGAGCAACCGACGTAGTGAACTAGATGCGATTATTTCTGTCCTCTTCGTTCATGCACGTCGTGAAATCGTTCAGAGGTGTATTTTGCGTCTTATGACAATACCGTCGACGGTCTGGGCGTAGTACAACGGACGGAAGCAACTCGGGCATTCATCCAACGCTTCCTTTTCCAGGTGGGCTAGCTACAGGTCAGAGAACACCACCACACTCACCGTAGAGTCCACCAGAATTTCATACGTTTGTCCGCAAACCTGAAATTACCACCTCATTCATCTTCATCTTCATCAACTTCCATCGCCGCTTCTCCTTCCGGATCGCGGAGGCAGACGCGTCAGACAGTGCTTCCAACGTTCCCGATCCTATGCCAGAGTCTGAGCTTCGGCA